TATGGTAGAGTCTAAGATGTGAAATTGAGAAAAATGTACGTCGGCCAGGCTATCCTAATATATTCAAACAATTTGATTCACCAACTTTCTAACGCACTTTTCTTCGCAAAGGAGCATCCTCACTTCCATGACCATTAACGGCTTTGGAACCAGTCGAACTTGATGCGCCACAAGCAGTAGGATTACAATTTCGCAGAATGGCATGTCGAGTAACCGTGGAAACACCATCGACAAATTTGGTCTTGAATAGAACATTAGCATTGTTGAACATGCCGTCCTTCAAAGATATAACGATGAACTGCATGACAGAGAAGTTTTATGAATATAGTCATACAAGGTTTACAAAAACAAAAAAATTTAGATCACTTCAAAAACCCTAGACTTATTCCTAAATTGTGTCTTGCAAAGGTACTTTAAAGAATATAAAAGAAATCTAAAAAATTTCAGGAAAAGTTTTAGTATATTTTGAACATGAAGCATGTCCACTAAACCATTAGTCATTATAAGATTCCATATAACTATACATAATTCACGTTAACTAAATCATGCTTACCATGTACCCATTGATTTGTCGAAGACAAGACTAATTCAAGAACTAACTCCGAATATAGGTAACTCATGCAAATGGCTCGTCTGGTATGCAAATCTCATTAGGATGAAATAAGTTTGATCTTGTTTTCGCAACTTGGTCATATTGGTAGAAAGGCCTATAAGAACACACCTAGTCCGGAGTTCATAGTATGCATGATAATTCCCGAAGTCGGACCGTAGACGTGGTACATTCTAAGACGTTTCACCGGGATCATCAGTGAGCATTGACAGTCTTAGTACAGACTAAAATTTGTCAGGGACAATTAAAGCCGATCCTTTGACCAATTGTCTGTTAAACAATCGTGGCATCTCTCCTTCCGCCTTTGGCTAATCACTAATTCTATATCCGTTTATCACCCCTTCACTATAACAATTCCTTACTTGCTTAGCAAAACAAATAGTATTACAGCATTTGTGAGTTTACACAAAAGAGATTATGAGATAGGAAGTCATAGACTTGGTATTATGGATAGAAACAGGATAGACGCGATAGAGACTATAGCTATCTAATAACAGTAGACGTGTTTGAGCACAGACGTGGTCCATGAAGCAGACTTGACTATGAGAATTACTCGGGGGCTTTAGATTCAAATTAGTCTCGCAGAGGCAGCGTGTAGAAAAGCTTGCAAATAAGAGAAGATACAAGAGCACCTTTATGTTAAGCATACATTGGAATATCAGTTTAAATCACCAAACATCCGTACAGAACTAATCGGCTGTTACTTTATCTTTCGCCACATGTGCCTTTGTTTAAATCTTTATCGAGACTTCTTAGTTAAGTCACTATTTCGATTATAAGCTTCGTGAGGCATGCAAATGTAGCTTTATTCGATGTTAGGAAAATCAAGCATTTTCCGATACAAGCAAAGATTTAAAAAATTAAAAGACTATTGTTTAGATGCATAGTTCTATAATATCCATAAACATACAAAAAATCAAAGCTAGCCGTAAAAATATAAACATAAAAAGACAACATGAGCACAACTTTTAAAATAAAGGTTAGAAGTTGAATAAATTAACTTGTCCGTTAATATATCTTACCTGGGAATGTTTAAAATGGTTTTTTATTAACTGTCCAATATTCTGTGTATGAGAAAGATCAAGGGCAGCATCAACTTCATCCAGAATATAAAGTGGAGCAGGCTTATACATAAGAAGCGAAAGTATGAGTGAAAGAGCAACTAGCGATCTAAAAGATGTCATTGAAAAAAATAAAAGTAATATGAAGCTAAATCAAAGAATTTCAGAAAAAGGAAATAACAATAGAGCTAGTAAAATCAAAATTAACGCAGGTAAAATAGGAAGAATGAAGCAATATGAATAAAGAATACATTCTGATTAAGAAATAAAGGTGATAGAGTAGGAAATAATGCCTAAAGTTATAGAGGTAAGGATTAAAAGAACTTCAAAGAAATCTCTTGACTATTTAAATACATAGTAATTGCAATAGGATGCTACATTTCCAAATCAAATGTGATTAAACCAATGAATATATTAAGGTATGGTCCTTTTTAAAAAACCTGAGTTGACTAAGCAAGGTATAAGGGACAATTTATAGATTCACACTTAGATAACGCTAAGTAATTTAATCTAGTCATCTACAAACTTCCCACTAGTTCCGACTGCAGTTTCAATAATGTCTGTCTCAAACTGAAATTTAAAAATGGATAGTGAGCAGCAAGTTGCCACCCTATTGAACTATCACATATGCCAGGTTGATAGTGCCCACAATGTACAAACAAGACTCGATTTCTCGTCTAAACAGCAATCTTAAAAGAAATTTAGTTTAGGCGACCGATAATGAGTAATATTTCAAGTCATAAGTACTATTCTGAACAACACTGACATATCTTTCACTTCGTGTAAAAAAGCTGATAGAAGAGAATGCTAAAGTGGCCTCACTGGAAGACGAAGGAAGGTTGTCTTGGGATAATGACTGTTGGATTATCCGAAGAAAACATCTACATGCCGTTCTGTGAATAAGATGAATCTGTGCTGTGTTTTCACAAGTCGTATGATAAACGTCATCAGGACCAAAACCACTAGTTACAAATAATCATCAAAAAGAATTAAACCAAAAACGTAGCGGGCTGGAATTCTACTTACTCCTTATGTATATAAGAATGAATTTAAGGGCAATTTTTTACTCGCCCTACATCCATGCACATAAGTGAAGTTTATAAAGGAATTAGGGCAGATGTAGTCACAGTTTTTCATTATGTAAAAAACTAGAGTATGATTTTATAACATTGAGGCTTGCCAAAGCTTCGGGTATACGATTGTGTTGAGTGTATGAAATACTCTTTAAGTTAGTTGAGAATTTCGAGGACAAAACAAAACTCAAGAATGAGCAAGTATTCTGCTCTTACTCGGTGTTTCTTTCTGTTACCTATTTCTTCAGCTCTAAATCTATCAATCAGGCAGATATAGTTCTTGCCCTGTTTGCCAGACTCTTCTAACTCAATCTCTCTTCAGTAAATTTCAACCGACTCAGTAATTAATGGTAAAGACACTATATATGGCAAAACATTGGGTTAAAAGGACTCAGGTTTCTGGATGAATAAATCTTTGCAGGAGATTTTTTGGTCTGATAACCACTATAATATCTAGTATATGAAACTGCTAGTCAACAAGACAAAGGAACTGCCAGAGAAGCAAAGATAGTGCGCCTGATCCAGGTGATTTACGTGCGCTATATATAAACTTCTTAATATAAGTTGTTTGACCTTGTTTTCGCAACTTGTTCATATTGGTAAAAAGACTTAGAAGGACGCACCAAGTATGTAGTCCATTTTATGCATGATCATTTCCAGAGTAGGACCGCAGAAGTGGTACATTCTTACACGTTTCGCCGGCATCGTAGTCGGCATCGTCAGTCAGTATCGCCATTCTTAGCACCATATAACAACTTGTCAAAAAAACAAGTGAACCTATCCTTTGACCAAACGTATGCTAAACAGAGGTGGTATCTTCCCTTCTGCCCTGTGCTATTAATATTTCTTATATCCTCCTATCACACCTTCACTGTTACAATTTTTATCTTGCCTAATTAAATCTAGTGTGATGTTCATTTCGAGTGGCTTTCATGAGAACCCTCCACACTTCACACTGACGTTCTCAGCGCCCTTTACCCTTATGCTCGGAATGTAGATCAGAGTCTGCCATATTAATACGCAGTCCTCCTTCCCTAGGTCTTATCACAGTCTCTCAATTGTCCCGTAAGATCCGTCTGTCCTCTCCCTAGTTCACATATTTCACTCGACCCCTGTTAACCCATCTGTGCCACTCGAGGCGTTATTCGGCGGCGATTGGAGCTAGTTGGCTGACATTAGGTTTTATAACAGACGTGGTCCATATGGTAGAGCCGTGACCATAAGGCTTACTCAGAGGCTTTAGCCTCGAATTAGTCACTGAGACACAGGGGAGGGCAAATAACACCTCGAGTGGCACAGGTGGGGTGGCAGGGGTCGAATGAAATATGTGAACTAGGGAGAGGACAGACGGATCTTACGGGGCAAAAGAGACTGTGATAAGACCTATGGAAGGAGGACTGCGTAACAATATTGCAGACTCTGATCTACATTCCCAGCACAAGGGTGAAGGGCGCTGAGAACGTCAGTGTGAAGTGCTGAGGGTTCTCATGAAAGCCGCTCAAAAGGTACATCACACTATATTTAATTTAGCAAAAGAAAAAAATCGTAACAGTGAAATGTGATAGGAGGATATATGAAATATGAATAGCTAAGGGCTTGGTCAAAGAATGGGCTTACTTGTCTCTTTGACGAGTTGTTATATAGTGATAAGAATGGCGATACTCACTGACGATGCCGACTACGACCATAAAAATGGGAAACCATCTTGGTCTTCATAACTTCGAATAAACTCCTTAATATAATTAAATTCATTTGTCATGAGATAAGCATGATAAAAGAAATTGAAAAGGAAACCAGTATTTGTAGGCAGTATAAGGCCTAGCATCAGTTCTCTATTACTTACGCATTGTTACTGACAACACTTAAATCTGAACTTTAGTGATTCTATAGTATTGTTGATATTATTGGTTCTATTGGTAAACTTAATGAGTTAAACAAAAATTTGGTCCCCACACATACTTCTAAGATATGGAGAGAGACTGTGTTTCGAAGAATCCCTTGATGGATTGATGCTGGAATACATTTTATTTCGTTTAAAAAGACGGATGTAAGGAATTCGAACCCTGGCCTTAATGGATTCTGGAGGATTGATTAGGGCTTGTGAGTACTGGATTCTGCAAACACGATGGCTCGTCGTCATGCGACCCTGATAAATCCGTGCAAAGATTTCATCTTAGGACTTCTTTGGACTATCCAGCATATGGTCACAATTCATGGCTGGCGTTTTTGGTCATCTTTGTAAATGATGGTTCTGGATCTGACTATATCCGTCACATGACAGATGGAAGCTAAGTGAGGTCGCAGGAAGAAGAGCTGAGGTCTTCTTCTCATAATCCGGAAGTCACAATTCGAGAGTGCTTTCCCTTCGGTATCTGGTGCGGCCAAATTGCAGATCACTTTCACTCACCTTTTCAAACGAGCTAAAAACTATGACAGTGTAGTGAATTTTATTAAACAGTCAGTTTGGCTAAATCTCTCGTCATAACTAGCCCTCAAGCCGTAATTTGTCAACTTACGCAACACCACTCTGAACATGACTCACCAGCACTTTCCATGGCCTTAATACTACACAACAGTATTTAAGCCAAAAACTCCTTATAATAAAGACTGTTCTCCGCCGCTCCCCTCGTGCCGTTGTTACACTCTGTGACCAAACACTTTTTCTTGCACTGACGCAATATTCTTGCATCGTCTTGGCGTTAACACAGAATTCTCGCCTCTAACTCTTTATTTTCTATGAAAGCACTCAGTGAATCATTTTCTTGTTCCTATATACAAGGCCAAGATAATCTATGAAATAGCACGAAGTCGAGCACATATTTATAGTTAACGATTTAGATCACTAAAACAATATAGAATTTGCTAACGAATTTCCGTTTAGTAATTAGAGGAGTAAGGGTACAGAACAAATAAGCGATATTCCAAGGCCTCTAATAAGCTTAGTCATAGACTCAAATAAAGTTATGATCTTATCTCGCTCAATTCAATATATAAAGTCGTCATTCTTGGTTAATTCTTTGATTATCTCCGTTAAAGGGTGGCTTCTGACTCTCATGGATTGCACTCTATGAGAAGTTACAAGGTGACAGTCATAAGTCTGGGACAATCTTCTTTATGCCTGCAAAGTCATGAAAACCTTCCCCTTATACTTTATATTTATAATAAAATGGAAGATTTTTATGGGGTTTCCATAGACCCAACACTTATCCATAGAAAAAACACCTATCTAATACTTAAAATTAGTTGCATTCATCCATTTAAATTATAAGCAATTCTTCCTCTTCTACTATTTGCTGATCTAGTAACTTCATAATCTCTTAAGAATTCTCTATTAAATATTGTCATAAACCTGGGATTTGCTCTAATTTACCACAAATAACGGACAATGTATGATGGATCACATAACCCTTAT